ATTCAAGAAGGATGTCGTCACATGTTTCAGCAGTTAATTCTCAAACGATTAGCAACCTGCCATATTGGAGTCAAAAATGGAAGAGCCTCAAGAAATAGCAAGGCATAAGTCTGTCATCACACATGAAACTACTTACAAATGAGAATATTAACAAAGAAAGAATCACCAGTCGACAATGACCTGGCTTCCTTCGGAGTCACCTTCTGATGGGATGATGCCAAAAAATTATGGTGATAATCAGTATCCAAAGCAACCGTAGTACAAAAATCACTTTAAAACCAATCACTTTGAATGTACAAAAATAAAGATTCATAGTATTGTAAAAGAGAACTACACTAAATATTTATTGAGTATCCTTTCTGTCCATACCACATTAACACACTGTTTAGATCGACAGAGAACCTTTGGGGAATGAATCAATTAATATTACTCCATTCCAAATTTAGGAGACCACCCTGCATAACTCAAATAATTAATCCAGTCTCACGCTTGAACAAATCAGAACAAAATCGTGCATATTCACTTGGACTTGAGACCAGAACCAAACCGGTCAAAACAAACTAACACTAAGCAATAATAAGTACACATAATGTGAAACTAGACCTAACCAAACTAAATTAAACAAGTCCAGGGTAGAATATTCCAGTCAAAATAAACATATCCTAAGTAGAAACAAGAACACAACATACAAAAACTAAACATACGAGAATACGAGATCATACCAATAATTTCAGTTTGGGCCCTAAAGTAGCATATATAAGCTGATATGTGGTTACTCAAAAGGGTTGAGATGGAGGAATGAAGTATTTGGTATACTTACGGATCAAACAGAACGTCATCGGCTTCTTCAACAATAATAGCACCACCCGCCACATCCCACGGGCCTTCGAAATCCAGCCTTACAGCAAGGGTCAAACCTCCCACATGCAATGCCGCATAAATTCGGCGCAAGAAAACCGGTCATTCGCAGGGACCTCACAAGAGCCAGGGGGCTAAACCATCACTAACCGACCGTCTCTATGCGACCAACAGTTGTAGACAATGACAACCGTCTCAGCGTCTCTATAAAACATTCTTGCAACGCAAACTATAAGGCCACTTGTGCATAATTTCTTCAAACGTCACTCTTTGGTTCTGGACTTTGAGCATTTCTCTGAAGCTATCAAGTTAAAAAAAAACAGAAAATTCTCATCATGTCGGTTCAAATAAAACTATCAAATAAAACATGATTGAAGCAAAAGCAAAGTCTTAAAGCACTCACCCATAGCTGAATTTCTGTAAAAAAAAATGTCATAATCCACTTGAAATAATTGCACAGTAAGCTCATATAAGGTAGTTATTATTATCATTATTTATTACAAGAATGATATAGTAAAATGAACATGTAAATCATAATATAGTATTTGTAGAAAATTATAAGTTGCTAAAGAAGTTGCAGCTTTTTTCTAAAAGTTCCATGATTAGGTCATTAAGGCCACCTTTCTTCACCAAGTCACTCTGCATTTAAGGAAATAAAAAATTGCTAATGGTTCCACAAAGCCCACTTGCATTGATGTACCAGTAATGGAGGGAAATTTTAAAAGAAAAATATTTACCATTGCACATTGTTTCATGCTACAGGATAATCCATTTTTGCATCTGACACAATACGCTCTTTGGTAAAGTAAATAGCATCAAATCAATAGCCTAACTCTACTGATAAATTGTGTTAGCTAGGTAACCTACTTCTTTCAGAATCATAAGGCCAAGAGACTAAGAGAGTATTCCATAAAAAGAATTTAAAATGGATTATTTGATAATGAAGTTAGCAATCTTACCACCACGTAGCCTGCAATGCCTAGTCAACTCTATAGCTGTATCTCCACCTGCAGCTTTTGCACTAATTTTTCCGGTGGGCTCGTAAACACGGACTTTGTGTCACACCATACCCCAGCTGCAGTATCCAAAATTGCAAAAAGAATAGACATTTTCAATATATAAGAATTTTGGTTTTGTACAAAAAGTTTTTTGTAAAAGTTAGTGGCAATACCGGCCACACTGGAGGAGTTCTGGACCATACATCCACTGCCCAATGCTCATCGATCCAGATGCACGGAGCCTTGCATGAACAAAAACCTGCAATCGAATGTAGAAACTGCCTCTTAAGGTAATGGAAATCTAGAATACATTAGAGGAGCTTAACAGTCAATGCCCCACTCCCATCAACCTCTCTATGTTTAGCTAGTCTATATGCACTTGTTAATAGCTACAAATGTCAAATAAGTCACAAAAATTAAGAGAGTGTAGTGCAATAGAAAGAAATTAATCATCTTATTATTTTTTGATCAATAAGATTTCATTGACATAAAGGTTTAATGGAAACAAAAAAACTCTAAACGTTCAGCAAAAGTCAAAACTGCCCAAACATATTTACTATGTGAGCGGTTCAGGGGGGGGGGGGGGGGGGAAGATTCGGCTCCCTATCCTTGTTTGGGTAAGTAAATATGTATGGGGATCAATTATTGAGCTCTCTGCTTATTAGGGTGATATAAATCTTAACTACCACTCCCACTAAGAAAACACATCATACTTCCTCCTCTACGTTGTATTATTAACTACTGAAATCAATTTCAGGAATAAAGCATGACAGAAAATTAAATCAATTCTTGACCTGTTTGATTCATAAGAAATGTGTAAGAAATTAGGTAGAACATACCAGATGGAGGAAAAGAAATTATGTTGAGGTCAAACTAGCTAGTAGATTTCAAACTGATGCATTTTCTTATGGAGCGATAGAGGTCTTCTTTGCGAGCGATACGAACCTCGCAAGGATCTGTATAGGCATGTTTGCACCTAGCCCATAGCAAACTGGTGCCCGAATCGTTGGTCGATGGTTTTGTTCCTACGACGGTCGATGCTTATCGCCGATTGTCCATCTGCTCGCAATTTCTAGTGGAAGCCGGAGATGTCTTCTCGATCGTCATCCAAGCATGCTCCAGCCGTTGCCGGTGCCGGAGGGCCACTAATAGCTTGGGAGAGATGCCGTGGGATGAAATTCCTCTGTTGCGGCGATTTCTCTCATACGTATACGCTAGGGTTTCTAATTCTCGTATATAGATAATACTAGGGACATTTTACAAAAAAGAAAATAAGTACTACGGAGCAGAGAGTATTAGGGAGTGTTTGCCCTTGCTTCAACTTTAAAAAAGTGATTTTTTAAAATGGTTTTGGGAAAAGTGATTAATAGTAAAACTTGGCAGTGTTTGAGAAAAAAGTGATTCTGAAAAAGTAAAAGTTGGTAGTGTTTGGTAAAATAAGTACTTTTTGTGTAATAGAAAAAGTGAAAAGCAGTTTAAAGCACCCTTCCACTTGCTTCCAGCTTTTAGCTTTTAAGTGATTAATTTAAGCAGAAGCTGTCATTTGAAAACACTCTTTTTAGCTTTTTTTAAGCCAAAAGCTGAAAAGCGCTTTTTTAAGCAGCCGCAAACACTGCTTTAGCATCAATAGAAATGTTTTGCACCGATAATTTTTAAGTATGTTTTTTTGTGTCCATATGTTGACGCAAAAGAATATTTATTCGTGTCCACACGTGTCGACGCAAAAAGTTTGGACGCAAATAATACTTTTTCTTGTAGTGACATGAATGAAAAAGACGGTCAAAAATTCGTTGAAAAAAACGTTGACTTTTAAAAAACATGTAAATACGTATACGTGTATAATATGTTATCTACTACAAAAATTCGGACGAAAAATACGGGTATTATTTTTAACATCTAAATGATATATTTCACAAAATAACATATATAGTAAAAAAGAAATAAGAGTATACACATATTCAAGTAGCAAATCTCATTACTACATACAAGAATAGTTCATAATTGCATAAGTCGGTGACAAAAATAAAAACAGTAATCAAGTCTAGGACATAATTTTGAAAAATAATTTCAAAATATCATTATCTTTATATGATCATCAAATAATAATACTCAAGTTAAACTCATCATTTTCATTAAGATGACATATGACAAAAGTTGTGTGATTGCTACACTTATTATTGTTTGTGTAAAAGTTTATGCTAAAAAAACGTTAGGTTTAGAAAAATCTTAATTTTGATATGCTAGCTTAAAAAAACATCAGAAATCTTGTAGTATATTAATACGTAAGTTTTAGTATTTCAGGATGCTAGCTTTAGCCATCATGCAATTAATTTTAGTATTTAATAGTTGCACTATAACAATACAAAAACACGAGATCATAGGGTGGACGTTTTCATTTTTACTTTTACACTATTGTTGATCTTCTATGCATTTAGTGCATTCATTCAATTGGTCAATTCATGTTTATGTTTTTTGTAAAATACGGGAAAATACGTTTTATACGGGAAGTAGGAGTTTTTTTCCTTTTTAAACGGAACGATATTTCCCCCTTTTTAAAAGTGTTTTTTTTGGTAAAAAAAAACGGTACATGTTTAAAATGCGCTTAAAACGAAAAAAAGCTAACTAGGGGTGACACTTTAATGAGTAGATGACCTCATGTGACGAGTTTATATAAGATAATACAAAGTTTTATTTGACCCTTTTCTCCGTATATTATTACTCAAAATTTAGTAGGAAGTATCATTGACGGAAACATTAAAAAATGAAAATAAAAGTGTGGAGTTTGCGCGGAGTAAATAAAAAATGATGTTTGTACCCATTCTTATACTCACTTTTGTACCCACCTATGTTTGTGAAGTGTTTTTTTTTCTGTGAACCCCGGTTCACATACAATATTTTACACAAACAAAGTATTGTTTGTGAACCTGATTCACAGACAAAAAAACGCTTCACAAACTTAGTGGATATAAGGTGGGTATAAGAGTGCCTAGATCGAGCATGGTTGGGAGTAATTAGATTCAAAAGGAGGGAGTGCATTAGTGACTTACGACTTTTACCACCTGACACTCTTTCCTTCTCACTTACTCCGTATATACTAGTTGCTACCGCCATTATTATTCTTTCTTCTCTTTAATTAACCCCCACCTTCCTCGCCAGGAGTAATTTCTGCCACCTCTCCTTTTTCGATTTTCTTTGCCACCACAAATTCCTCCATTCTCATCTTCTATCCTCTTCATCGACTGATTTCTTGCTCATCATCATAATTTATAAGTGTCTGATTTCCCGACTGTTACTCTCACCACATAATTAATTACCCTACCATGCACCTTACTATAAACAATGCCCCCACGACCATCACATGTCTAAAATCTTCTCTTTTTTTCCTTTCTTTTTTTCTCGGTTGTGTTTAACAAAGAACCCTTAGTGTTGTGGGAGGAGTACTAGCTGCTGTCTTTAGTTCTAGTTCTTACTTCTTAGTGTTGTTTGGTTTGAGGGGTTTCAAGAGTAATTAGGAACGTGCGCCGAATAAAGTGTGGTAATAGTAAAAAAAGATTGATGGAGTTGGGAGGTGGCGGCGGTGTCTCTAGCGGCAGCGGTGGCGCCAGTGCTGACCACCACCATGATTCCTCCGACCGTAACCGGGCGAACAAGAAGCGCTACCACCGTCATACTGCCCACCAAATTCAGAGGCTTGAATCGTAAGTTCTTACTACTTACTGTGTATATTTTTTACTGTGTTTTGTAAAACGTTAGTAATTATCTTAGACGTTTTTTTTGTTGCTGTTTTGACAAAAAGGATTTTCAAAGAGTACCCACATCCAGACGAGAAGACAAGATTACAGTTAAGCAGAGAGTTGGGTCTGGCTCCTCGTCAAATCAAGTTTTGGTTCCAGAATAGGAGGACCCAAATGAAGGTATACTATACTCTAAGTACATATCAAACCTAATTTGGGATTGATGTTTAATTTGCCCTCGATGTGCTTTTGAGTTATTAGAGTCATGCTCATTTAGCTTCAAAATTAAGAAGTTTAAAATTAGAAAATATTGTTGTCATTCTCTTGTTGAGGTTGTGCAAGAGTAGGGAGAATGAAATAGCTTTAATTTTGTTTATTTTTAAAGAGTGGTGAACTTTTTGTAATTGAATAACCCTAACAACCAAATAAAGAAAAAGTGACAAACTTTTGTGAGACGTTTCCAATTAATAATTCAAAAATGATGGGTATAAGAGTGGGTACACCATGTTTGGAAAAATTCTCCTCCTTCATGTATCTTGTCTTCTTTGAACTTTGATTTGATAAATAATAGCTAGCTGAGTTTTCATCAAAAAAAAAAAAAAAAAAAAAAAAAGAGTGGGTACATCAATGGTTAATAATTTTGCATCAATGTTTACAAGTGGGGAATTATCAATATGTCGATGAAGTCTTTCTATATTGCACTAATTTAAGAACGTTTTTGAACAAAATAATACTCTATCCGTTATTTTTTATTTAGTCAAACACTTTTTTTCAAGTCAAAGTTGTTCAACTTTGACCGATTATATATTTATACACAGTAATATTGATAATATGAAAATATTCTTTGTTAAAAATACTATCATAAAAGTATAAAATTATTAAGTTTGATATAAATATATTAGTTAAAATAATGGATCAAAGTTTATCACCTTTGAGTGGAAAAGTGAAAGATGACTAAATTAAAAGGGACGGAGGTAATATATCATTAATTTGGAATTATTTTATTAGAGCAAACAACAATGCAAGGATTTTGCTCTCTGCAACCCCAAAAAAGTCATTGTCATAAATCAATTACTTTATCCCATAATAAACATTCCATCTACTTCATCACCTTTATTAAGAAAAGAGAAAAAGTCTAGCTTCGTTAAAATGATTTCCTATCATGGTATATAGCAATTTAATACTACCTCCGTTCTTTTTTAAATGCAACGTTGGACTTTTTACACTATTCATATGTTCTACTTTGACTCTATTTTATTTATTAATGTATTATAAACTAAATTTGAAAAAAATATTGTTAAATTCCTCTCACCTTAAATTTTCATAATCTAATTTTTTTAATTTTTTTACTAATACGAAATGAAAGATATTAATGGTCAAACTTGTGTGTTGGCAAACGTGAAAAGTGAAAAGTGGACCGTTGCAATTAAAAAAGAACGGAGGAAGTACAGAGTACAATACTTCGTCATGATAAACTTTCAAATTAAGAAGTTGAAAAAATGATTGTTTTCTTGTTGAGGTCTGTGCAAGTGGAAAGAAAAATAATGAAACTTAAAAATTACTTATGTTTTAAGAAAGTGTAAATCGATCATAAACCTCACATAACATTTCTGAGGTGTATGAATTAGTTTTTAGTAAAAACAATCCTAAATTGTTCTCAAAGTGAGGCTTATTTTGTTCTATTGAAAGACTATATATAGCTTCCTGTAGTATTAATATTGAATAATAACTATTATAGGAAAGAAAATAACGATAATCTTATTTATGCTCTTTGCTTATATATGTTCTAATCTTGTTTATGATTTTTCTAATTATTTTGGATGAAAATATGGTGAGACAAATTATTTTAAAAATGGGTGTGTCAGTGTGTGAACCTTAAATTGGTTAGAGGAAAGAATATTTCAAATCTTAAATTCAATTCTTTTAAGGCGTAGAAGTCTTTTCAAGGTGCACTGTGATGACTTTTAGAATTTAAAATCAGTTACTGAACAAAATCAAACTATCATTTTCTTGTGATTAAATTATTATTATATTAAATAAGTCACTGTCACAAATCAATTAATTTATCCCATAATAACATTCTATCTACTTCCTGGCCTTTATTATGAAAAGGAAAAAAGTCCCTTTTTCTCACAATGATGGTAAGTGGTCATTTATTTTCTTGATTAGGTTAGAAATGTAATTAGCTAATGTTTGCCGTCTCTTGTAATTTAGGCACAACATGAACGGGCGGATAACAGCACACTCCGGGCACTAAACGACAAAATCAGGTGCGAAAACATTGCGATCAGAGAGGCTCTCAAGAACGTCATCTGCCCGTCGTGTGGCGGCCCGCCGGTCAGGGAAGACCCTTACTTCGACGAGCACAAATTGAGGATGGAAAATTTGGCTTTAAAAGAAGAGGTTTTTATATTGACTCACTAACAACTACCAAAATCATCTTCAAAACTAAAAAAGCCCTAAATATTGGGGAGTACATAGTACTAATTAGGAATTGGGAAAACTGTTAATTTAATCCTCGTACTATCACGGAAAAGTCAATTAGATCATCGTACTTTTAAAAAATCATTCAAATCCCCGAAGTTTGTAAAAACGTTCAATAAAGTCCATTTACATGTCACCCGCTGAATTGGCACACAAGTGGCGGTCCACGTATGCCTCCCGCCATTACTAAATGACTGACTGGACTTCCGCATGTGCGTCACGCCAACAAAATCATTGCTGATTATGCTGCCATATGTGTGCCACGTCAGCGGGTCATGGTGACCCGCTGACATGACAAGTAGTCTGTAAATGGACTCAAATGGACATTTTTAGAAAGTTCGGGGATTTAATTGATTTTTGTAAAAATACAAGGACTTAATTGACTTTTTCGGGATAGTACAAGGACCGAATTTGACTTTGCAATTAATTCTTGTGCTTGATATTTGAATTAGACTTTGCACTTCATTTTGAGAATCATTAAATTAATGAGTAAACTCCGTTCAGCATACAATCATTTGACTTAGCACCACATTGTTTTAGGTATTTAGAAATTGTTTAATACGGTGTACATGATACGAAAACATACATAAAGTTTAAAAGTAGGACCAAACATGTTTTATTCCTTAAATAGAATTTATTAAGTCCTACGTAGTATTCAAAGAATAAGTTGATTAAAATATCTCAAAATAGGATTACATATGTTGAGAATTAAACAAATTGATAACCCTGTTTATGTTGAAAAAAAGGAATTTTTCACAATGGATTGATGGGGTGCTTGATTATGAAATGAAGTGTAAAATCCAACATAACTCCAAGAAAAATGTTATTTTCTGTACTAGGTATTGATGAATTAACTTTGTGTTTCTTTTCTGTTTGTAAATTCTTGGATGAATATAGCTAGATAAAGTGTCTAGCATAGCTGCAAAGTACATAGGGAGGCCAATATCACAGCTCCCACCAGTTCAGCCTATCCATCTATCCTCACTAGACTTGTCCATGTCTACTTACGGTGCCCATCATGGAATAATGCACGGTGGCCCTTCCCTTGACTTGGACCTCCTGCCGGGGAGTAATCATCCGCCGATGGCGGTGGCGGGCATCTCCGACAGCACGGCGGCTCCTCCCTTCCCTCCACTAATGAGCCTGTCGGACATGGACCGATCCCTCATGGCCGATGTGGCGGGCAATGCGATGGATGAACTGATTAGGCTGTCACATGGCAACGAGCCCTTTTGGACCAAGTCAACGGATGGCGGGAGAGAGATTCTTGACATTGAAAACTATGAAAGGGTTTTCCCGCGGGCAAGTACTATTCACTCCATGAAGAACTCCAACGTTAGGATCGAGGCTTCTCGTGATTCGGGTGTCGTCATTATGAATGCTCTTTCTTTGGTTGACATGTTTATGGATGCGGTTAGCTCTTTTCTCTATTATTACTGCGTATTTAATTACAGTATTTAATATTCCCTCCGCCCAAAAACTCTTTGCATGCCTCTTAAATAATGTGAATAAAGTTGAGAACGTGAAATGTATACTTTTTGGTTGAGGAAGAAAAATGTCGCTGCATCTCAAAATGATAAGTGGAAAGATTTTTCGATGTAATTTACACAAAGGTCCATGTAAATAAGTGGCACAAGAGAGATAGAAAATATGCACCATTGTCTCCTCATGTAGAGAATGGGTGGAATAAAGTCAATGTGCAGAGTTATTACACGAGTATTTGGAAACATTGACCATAAAGTCAAATACACCATCTCTAATTTAATGTTATTATGTGCATAGTGCGCGTATATATAACATGAAAGAGACAAATACAAAAGAACACATTCATTACACTTCTTTTTTTTCACGGTCTTTTGAGTTTTTGATAAGTTTTTGTAAATAATATCAATCACAATGCCTATATCTAAACATTATACTTGACATTGTGAATAAAAAGTTACCGAAAACAAATATAATCATTCCAGTAAGGAGAGAAATGTTGCATATATTCATTTTTATGTGTCTATCTATCTCTCTCATTCAATGTATGCATCGTCCACAATTTGCATCGTAAATGCTCTAATATATACTTGAAAGTCAAATAAAAAAGTTTTGATATAGCACGGAATTTATGCATGTGCTCATTAATTATTTTAATCTCCTATTTATACATGGGCGTTGTAAATAATACTGATTTTATGCGTTACCTTTTGCAGAACGATTACATTAATTGAATATCGTGTACTTGAATAAGTGAATTATGTTTTTACAAAGGTCTTTTTTCTAAGAATTTATTGTAATATCATACATATGCATAAATTATGAAACTAAATCGTCATTTTCCATAATTATCATCATTATTATTACGGAGTACTTCTTAATAAGGTCATAGCGAAATATTGCAGAATAAATGGGTGGAATTGTTTCCCACCATTGTCTCCAAGGCCGCAACACTTGAAGTAATATCATCTTCTGGAGTATTAGGTAGCAGAAGTGGAACATTGCAATTGGTGAGCGCAGAAACGTAATTTTTATAACATAAAAAGAAAAATAATTAATTTTGTTGATGTTTTTATTTAATTTTAATTCTTTTTCTTTTTTTGGTGAGGTAGATGTACGGAGAATTGCAGGTGCTGTCACCTTTGGTTCCTACACGACAATTTTATTTCTTAAGGTTTTGCCAGCAAATTGAGCAAGGGACATGGGCAATAGTTGATGTTTCATATGACAATAGTAACATTCCTCATCAAGAAACTTATCATTCTTCTTCTTGCAAAGTAAACCGCCTCCCTTCTGGATGCTTGATTCAAGACTTGCCCAATGGATATTCCAATGTAAGTACTAATAAATTATGGGTTTTCGAGAATGTCGTTACGTTACTATTGTTTGTGTTTTTTTATTTATATGTTTTGTTTGTGTTGCGAGAACATATGTAGGTGACATGGGTGGAACATTTGGAGGTGGAAGACAAGGTTTTAGTTCATAAACTGTATAGAGATGTTATCCAATGTGGAATGGCTTTTGGTGCAGAAAGATGGCTTGCTGTGCTTCAGAGAATGTGTGAGAGATTTGTTTGCCTAATGGTCAGTGGCAATTCTACCCGTGACCTTGGAGGAGGTATGTTTTTATATACGTGGTATATAATTTGATCCATCCAAATTTGTTATTAATAAATTAAATATTATTCCGTGTGTTTGAAATAATATTATATAGGTCACTGCATTAGGTTTGGCGCAACAGCCTTGGCACAACTATTAATGAAAAAAATGGGTTAGGTAGTATTGAATTCGCAAAATTAATGACTGTGAAACACTAAATATGGTCAAATATGCTATATATGAGGCCAAAATGTAAATATGTGATAAATGAATTGGAATGGTCTCCTATGCCGTATTTATTTGCCTCATCTTTCCTCTATAGATCATTACACCATATTTGTCACATACCAAATTTGATCATATGATATGCAATGGTCTCGCTTACAAGCTCATAATAATTGTTAACTTACAAACTTAATATTTCACAACTTAATGTCGCAGTAATCAATGGAACATGTTAGGTTGTTTTCACTTTTCAGTAGGCGGCTCCTTTAATTCTATATTTTAACCTAATGTAACAGGACGTGATTGAATTTGCTTGAAATTGATTAGCTAGAGAATATATGTGGGAAATGGTATAGTAGTATGTAGTTAATGGAGGGTTTTACTAAATTAGTATGGCCCAAAATGGCAGTGATCCCATCAGCAGAAGGGAAGAGAAGCATGATGAAGCTAGCACAAAGAATGGTGAGCAGCTTCTGTGCTAGTGTGAATCCATCCAACGGTCACCATTGGACGACACAGTCTGGGGCGAACGAGTTTGAGATACACGCCACCCTCCAGAAGAGCACCGACCACGGCCAGCCCAATGGCGTCGTCATCAGTGCCGCCACCACCATTTGGCTCCCAATTCCTCCCGAAACCGTGTTCGATTTCTTTAGGGATGAGAGGACTCGACCCCAGGTCGAACTGACTTTCATGGTTTTTATTTTTTCTGTTAGATGCTGAGCAATTTGATTTAATATTTAATCCGTCCCTTTTCATTGAGTCATACTTGAATTTTCAAATCAACGATGTCAAACTTTTACTAGTAATAAATCTATGTACAGAAATATTTATAATATGAAAATGCTGTTTGTTGAAAATATTTAGTTTCACATAAACATACTAGTTAAGATGATTAACCAAAGTTTACTATCAAAAGGGACGAAAGTTATAGTATGTCACATATTTATTTCATCATAGAATTATCTCTCGGGATGATCATCAATTCATCATCCTCATATTTGGTACGGTGAATTTTACAGTGGGATGTTCTTTCCAACCAAAATCCTGTCCAAGAAGTGGCTCACATTGCAAATGGCTCACATCCAGGGAACTCTATATCTGTTCTTAGGGTATATTTCCTTTTCAAACTTTCACTCTTTTCTTTTGTTTGAACTAGTTTGACACCAATAATATCTTCAATGTAACAATATAACAATATGCACAATGTACTAAACAGCACCAATTTGGTACAAATAATTAATTTGCATATATGTTATTGGCATGGCGCAGGCTTATAACACAAGCCAGAACAATATGCTAATAATCCAAGAAAGCTGCATAGACTCCTCCGGCTGCCTAGTGGTGTACAGCCCGGTCGACTTGCCGTCGATCAACATGGCGATGAGCGGCGAGGACCCCACCTACATACCCCTCCTCCCTTCCGGTTTTACTATCGCGCCCGACGGCAGGTCGGGCCAGGGCAATAACAATAACAGCAACACAGTAAGTGATCACCCCTTTCAGCAGGCATCATCGTCATCAAGTACAATCAACAATCCAGGTAGTACCACTGCCACTGCAGGTCCAGGCGGGGAAGGCGGTGGGTCTCTTATCACAGTTGTGTTCCAAATATTGGTTAGTAGCTTCCCGTCGGCTAAAATGAGCCCCGAGTCCATCGCCACCGTCAATAGCCTCATCGGAAACACTGTTCACCAAATCAAAACCGCCCTGAATTGCTTTGGTAACCCCACCCCAGCTTAGCTTCCTGAATTTCATTCCTAATGTTTAGACTGCCTATCCCCTAGCTAACAACCATAAAGTTTCTCCTTTCCTTTTCAAGCTTCAAACCCTAAACCCTAGGGAAAATTTAATGTTGGAACGTCCTCCTTTTTTAACTTTTACCTCAAATAGTTGAATGCTGGCTCTAACATTAAGTCATCAACTCCATCTACTATTCCACGGGATTGATGACAGAATGTTAGGGTGCATATATATGCCTAGCTAATTATATAGTTGTACGTGGAGCTAAGAAAGCCTTAGTTTCGACCCGAATCCAAACCCGACCCGTCTTCAAAATTTATTGAACCGGCCAGGGGACTGTAAGTGTGCATGGAGCCTGCTGCTAGTGTCTTTAAAGACACAACAGTACAGTTACTAGTAGCTAGCTACAACAAATACAATGGTACAGAAAGGAAAGCTGGCTGGCTACATGGCTGTTGAATTGAATGAGGCAGATGAGATCAGAGAGAGTTAAATTAGGGTTAGTTGGGAAGCTATGAATGCTGCTATGGTCCATGAATGAAGAGCCACACGCTGCTGCCTCTCGCAGTCAATGCCATTATCGATCCTCTCTTTCTAGCTATAGCTCCTTTATCATTATTATTATTGGGAAGAATTATGTTTTTGTGGGAATTTTTTATTTTTATTTTATTTTTTGACCCATCGTTTTTATCTTAAAAAGGGAGTCAAGAACGCACCATATATACATGTATACTTCTTGCTGTGGTCCTCTCTAGCTAGCATTCACTTCCTCCTGCGCGCCTTGAATTTTGTTTCGGCAGATCAGTGTCACTGTCATAGTTTAAGCATACACAGCAAAGATGATATTATTGTATGGTTCGGGTATTGACTTCTCTTAATGGAGTGAACTTTCATCTATCACTACGGAGTAGTATTTTTATTACTATGATGATATTATTTTGTACCAACACTCATTTGTCATTCTTCTGTTCAAGCCAGAGTAAAAATGAAACTCTAAATATGTTCTTAACACGAGTTAAAGTAATAATAATGTGTGTATTACTGTTAATGGGATTGTTTATTAATGTTTATTAATATCTTGAACTATTCATTATAAATACACTCCCATGGCTACTACTCTCCTAAGCCTCCATATTATTCTCATATGATATCAAGAATCATTATTAGGTTCTAATTTTTCTCTCTCTTGATTATTACTACTAGTGCGACGTCTTCCACCACCATGGTTGTGCCTACCTCGGCAATGCCTACTTTCACGTTGCCGGCCAACGAAGATCTTCCGCTGTAGCAAGCCAGTTTGGCTCCATCACATCAAGGCCGCAACCATTCTATAGCTCGCTAGTCGTCTCCACGCTTCCGCCGCTCACCTTCGGCAGTTGGGCTCTGCCGATATTTACCTGGTCTTCGACGGCTCAGTCCATTCCGTCACTGCCTTCTACCTTGACGGTCATCCCTGCAGGTGCTAGCCACAATTTCGAGTACAATTCATCCTTTAGTTTGCCCCATGAATGTCCATTAGCTAGATCCATGCAAGTTTTTAAATAGCTGTAGTGGCAGCGGTAGCGGTAGCGGTAGCGGTAGCGGTCATCGCGGTAGCGGCCTGTAGTGGCCTGTAGCCGACTGTAGCGATTGCAGCGGCGTGAAATATTTTCAATTGCGCAAAACATATATTTAATGAGTGTTGAAGTTAATACAAACATTGTGAATATTTGTTTGAACACTTATAACATTAAGAGTTCATTTACACAACATAGACACATTTACACATCAACCCGTTCGTGACGTACTGCCGGAAATGTCAATAGCTGGCTGTAGCGGGCTGTAGCGGGCGGCGTGGCGGGTTTTTCCCGTGATTTGGAATTCACAGCGGAATAGCGGGCCATAGCGGTAGCGGCCCCTACTGATATGCACTAGTTAGTAGTGCATACATGTGTGTTTTTATATTTGTTTAGTGTGGATTGTTTACCATTTGGGTGTAGTTGTAAACATTTGTTTACTTTTATTTGTAAGTGTTTTTAGCTTTTATTTGTGAGTTAGGAAGTTTTGATAGAATTGTTGGCAAGGAAAAGGAAGAAAAACAAGGAGAATGCTGCCCAGGAGTATAAACCCGGCCGGGTAGAAACCTTCGCCCGGTCGGGTTTGAGTTAACATATGCAATATTCAGGAAACTGCTTGGCCCGGTCGGGCCCTATACCTCACCCGGTCGGGTGAGACTTGACCGAGGACAACCCGACGTGCTGAAGAACACAAGAACGTGGAAGATATTTGATTTGGACCGGTACCCGGTCGGATAGATACTCTACCCGGTCGGGTACCCGGCCAAAGGTGTTGAAAAACACCTATAAATATCACACTTTTCCTTCACTAATGATCATCCCTTCTTCCATTTACCTAAGCTCAGTTTAGAATAGCATTTCTTTATATTTTTCTAGCTATGTTTAGTCTCCAAATGAGGAGCTAAACTTCCATTTCTTGGTGTTGCTCTTGAACCTTGTTGATTATTAAAGTTGTGAGTTATTTTCTTAACCCGGTCGGGTGAGACTTGACCGAGGACAACCCGACGTGCTGAAGAACACAAGAACGTGGAGGATATTTGATTTGGACCGGTACCCGGTCGGATAGATACTCTACCCGGTCGGGTACCCGGCCAAAGGTGTTGAAAAACACCTATAAATATCACACTTTTCCTTCACTAATGATCATCCCTTCTTCCATCTCAAACGGAGCCGAATCCTAGGCAACAAGCCCACGCAGTGACATTGAGGAGTGGCAAAGAGTTGGTGATTGCCAAGGAGAAAGCCAAAAGCCACATTGGCGAGGAAGAGGAAGAGGAGCTTGTGGACAAAGCTCAACCGGAGGAAGAGGAAGCTCACATTTCAACTCCACCCCCGGTTATTCATGAAGTGGAAGCACCGTTTCCCGAAGCTCTAAGGGAAACGAAAAGGGTGGAGAAAGACAAGGACATCTATGAGACATTCTCCAAATGTGAGGTAAATATTCCTCTTCTTAACTTAATAAAAGGTGTTCCTAGATTTGCCAAATTTTTCAAAGAGCTATGCACAATAAAAAGGAAGCATAGGCTCAATGGAAAACAAAAAGTCCAAGTTAGTAAACGTGTTTCGGTAGTTTTCCAAAAGAAACTTGAGTCAATTCCCTAAATAGGACTAAAAAGTGGCAAAATTGCACAAATAGGACTACATTTTTTAAATTCCCTTAATAGGACTATTTATGTGTGTTTGGCCAAATATACCCTTGTAACTTGTGAAATGTTTTAATTAATAATAAAATCATACAAAAATAATAAAAATCGAAAAAAATACTAAAAATCGTAAAAAGATAATAGAAAATTAATAAAAATATTTTTTAAAAAAATTAAAAAAAAATTTATTTAAAAAAAAATAAAAAAAATAAAAAAAAATCGTAAAAAAAAAAAAAAATATTACCACCCCTGCCACCCCCAGCACCACCAGCTCCCATCACCGGAGAAAAATATGCCAACATTTTAAATAATGCCATAATGATGGCATATTCAATGAAAATGTTGGCATATTGAAGAGTAATTATGCCATCTTTTTGGCATTTTCAGAAAAAGATGGCATTTTTTTTACCAAAAGTGGAAGAAATTTCACCAATCTGAGGTGGTGGTGCTGGGAGGCGGCGGATGGCGGTGGGAAATGTATCCATAATTTTTTTCATTTTTTATGGGTTTTTACTATTTTTTATTATTTTTTAAAAAAAATTTTTAAAAATAAAAAATTAAATTTTTTATTTTATAAATGTTTTATAAATTTTTTATAATTTTTTTACGTTTTTTAAATATTTTTTACATTTTTTTATGATTTTATTATGAATTAAAGCATTTCATTATGAATTAATACTCTTAGGGGTATTTAGGGTAGAAAATCTATGTTTAGTCCTATTTAGGGAATTTAAAAAGTAGTAGTCCTATTTGTGCTTTTTAGGAACTCATTAGTCCTATTTAGGACAATTTCCGAAGAAACTTCCAAAGAAATACAATGACCCGGGCATGTTCACTATACCTTGTAAGTTGGGAGGTACTACGTTTTCAAAGGCCATGTTAGATTTGGGAGCGTCGATTAATGTCATCCCTTACTCGTTGTATAAATCACTTGAACTTGGCCCTCTAAATGAAACCGGAGTAGTTATTCAACTTGCGGATAGATCAAATGCCTACCCTAAGGGTATTGTCGAAGACGTGCTAGTGATGGTAGACAATTTGATCTTTCCCGCCGACTTTTATGTTTTGGAAATGGAAAATGATAAGAATGCGGTTCCTATCCTGTAATACCCGAGATTAATTTAAGAGGATTAATAGTACTACTCATACCAACAAGATGCATCTCCTTTTAAGGGAGCTCATCACCAAGAACTCCAAAGTTAAGCGTGCTTGCACGGGAGTAGTCTTGGGATGGGTGACCCCCTGGGAAGTTTCTCAGGGCGCGCACGAGTGAGGACAAAGTGCGCGTAAAAGGCTAGTGGCGGTTTGTGAGGACAGTACTATTGGTCCGGAGTAACTACCTCGGGTCCGGTGGGGCCGGGGTGTTACAAGTGGTATCAGAGCAACCCTGCGACAGTGTGCTGATCCGTTGGATATCGGGCGGGCACTTAGCAGGGGAAAAAGATTCTGGGGTGTGATTGAGATTGGTTTAAGGGCGCAACGAGGACGTTGCGATCCTAAGTGGGGGTGATTGTAACACTTGAGATTTAATATAAATGGATTAATAGTACTACTCATACAAACAGAGGTGCATCTCCTTTTAAGGGAGCTCATTACCCAAGAACTCCAAAGTTAAGCGTGCTCGCACGGGAGTAGTCTTGGGATGGGTGACCCCCTGGGAAGTTTCTCAGGGCGCGCATGAGTGAGGACAAAGTGCGCGGTAAAGGCTTGTGGTGGTTTGTGAGGACAGTACTATTGGTCCGGAGTAACTACCTCGGGTCCGGTGGGGCCGGGGTGTTACATATCCTTTTAGGAAGGCCATTTTTAAAGACTGCTAGAGCTAAAATTGATGTTTTTAGCGGATCTTTAACAATGGAATTTGATGGAGATAAAGTTGAATTCAATATTTATGACTCCATGAAATACCCAAATGGAAATCATTCTCTATTTGCCATTGATATTATTGATCCCCATGTGCAAAACACTTTTGAAATGAATGAGGAGGATGAACTACTAAGTGTGATTGAGAATGATCTCGGGGAAAATTCTTTAGAACTTGCTTTGACCCTCAATATACAAGCCATGATGGTGGAGTTGGATAACCATTTCCAACTTCCACTTATGCCACCGGGGTCAAGAGCATTCCCACTAACCATCCCCGAGGAAAAGCCTTTGCCTTCCATTTTGCAGGCCCCCGATGTTGAGATAAAGCCACTCCCAAAACACTTGAAATATGTGTTCTTGGGAGAAAAAGAAACATTGCCGGTCATAATCTCAAACAAATTGACCGGAGATCAAGAAGAGAAGTTGATTGCGGTGCTTAAAGAGCACAAACTTGCAATCGGATGGACTATAGCCGACATCAAAGGCATTAGTCCATCTACTTGCATGCACTGCATCTTGATGGAGAATGAAGCCAAGCCGGTGCGCCAACCACAATGGAGATTGAACCCACCTATGATGGAGGTGGTAAAAAAGGAGGTCATCAAGCTTCTCCAAATGGGGATAATCTTCCTGACGTGCACTTTGTCGTGGTGTGCACTCAAAATAATATTACAATACAACACTTATACGTAGTATAGCGTAGTAAGGTTCGTATCCGCAGGGAAAGGAATACTTCTCTTTTTATAACTAGTAATAAGGGGGGTTTTTAGATTTGTTCTTGAAGAACTTTTAAGAATATTAAAACACAAAGATGAACGAGTTATGTGGTTTAATTAATGAGAAGAAGACTTGGCTTTGCTTTTATCCACTTAATGAAATGTTCGTCGATCCCGGTTATATCTTTAACTATCTTCCTCTCGAATACTCAATCGAGGAGTATATCCAATTCATCGAGGGTA